GTAAATACTGCTTTGACTCCAACTAGACTCGCTTTGTTCCTAACTGCCTAAATCAATTGTTTCTGTGAAAGTTTCAATGTAGGTTATTTAAAGAAATCTACTTATTTCTTTTTATCTAACTTCAACAATATGCTCAACATAAATATTGAAAATATATTTTCATTCTTTTGAAGAAGGTTTTTCATTAGCCCAGACACATTTTATATTTTAGCCAAGACATGTACCAATTACTATCTTCATAAGGTGTAATTTAAAGCTATGCGAGTAAAAAATGAGCGATCGAAGCGCACTCAGTTTTAAAGTAAATTTTCGAGTTAAAATTTTTATTTCGTAAAAAATTTTTGATAAGTGTTCTAGAAGCTGTGGAGAGTCCTCTTTCTGGCCAATTGAAATTTATGAACTTAAAAATTTTTTTGTTGCCATTATTGGATTTTTAAAAAAAGCCTTATAGGAACACATGCTTTCCTTAAGCGTTAATATAGATTTTGAGTCAAAAACCGTCAAGTTCGGTATATTTTATATAAACGTGAATTATGTTTTTTTTGTCCAAAAGTTTTAACTCGAAATTTACTTTAAAAATGAGTCGGTGGCGCCTCTAGATGTTAAAAAAATAATAATTTTTTTTGTCCACAAATCTTCTTTTTTTTATAATCTATGGATTTTACCCCGGGCTAAGCAAAAAAAAAGAATTTTTTTCGCTCCACCCTAATGACTACTATTCGATAGGCCATTAGGGCAAATCAGATCCCAAAAGAGATTTGAAAATGTAAAAGCAAGTATTTTTTTTTATAATGTTCGCCCTCAAACAGCCAAACAGAAGCCTGCAAGTTATTTTATTCTAAGCATACCAATGCCTAATCTACTTTTCCACACACTCTCGACGTTTCTTTAATTTTATCGATGCTTTCGCCATTAACAAAGTTGGATAGATACACCCTTTTTCGGCGTACACAAATAGCTGCCAAACACTAATTGACATACGGAGACCAAACTTCACATGAACATAAAAAAGGTTGGAAAAAATTGTTTATCGATTTGGCTAGCGTGCGCTGATTAAATAGACCAGTCCAAGTCTTATTTGATGACAAGGTGTATGGATGATAAAAGTATTTTTAAGTCAATTATTTTTAAGTTATTTTATTGCGAAATTCTCAGACACAGCAATTTTCTATGCTGATTGAACTTCTAGGGAAGTCAATACATAAGACTCTAAATCATATTTTTTAGTTATGAGGAAAGTTGGAGTGAACAAACTCACAGTGAAAGTTTAGTTTTACTTAAAATTACTTTGAAATTCCATTGCACTCTAAAAGATACTTTTAATAACACAAAAATTGAAAGAGTTTTGTTTTATCGGCAAAAAAAAGTAAGACAGGAAATACTGTTCGAAATATTTAACATACTTGTACTCTTTTGTTTTAGAAAGACTTCTGGAACATAAAGTATAACAACTTCGAAAATATAATACAAACATCTTTCTCTCTTATGCAACTTTTTTGTAGCATGAGATTATATATATTTTCGTACACCATGTAATATTTAAAGTTATAAAATTTCTTAATTTTTATGCATAACTAACTTGAGTTATCTACGTCATTGCGACAGAAAGCGTATGCCTTGGCGTATACGCAACATTTTTGTGCTTGCCATAAATTGAGGTCAACGAGTGTAATTTGTATTAGTATGTTGCACATCACTGACAACCAACCGCCTGTACGCTTTTTACTTGATTTTAATAATATTTGAACATTAAAATTTAATATACAGGCGATTAATTTTACAGCCAGGAAATGACCTCAGCGGCAACTAGCCCGAGCTGCAGCTGTAAAGCGGCACAAGTGTTGAACACACCGTTAGCAAAGTAATAACGGCACGTGCTTGCCTGTGTTGCAGTTACAAATTCCCCACAGCCATGCAGCAAACACTCAGGCGCTTATTCACTTAAACTCAACGAAGAAGCGCTTGCACACGCTCATCTAGCAAGTGACTTGCTGCTAGCTGTCTCTTTATCACAACACTTGCGGCACTAGAGTCAATGAAGCTGTTGATATGCTTTGCTGCCACATCGATTGTTGTTGCTACTACTACTATAGTTGACAGCCAGAAAGACAACGTCACGCAAATGTACACACACACACACACTCGCACAGGAAAGTGTAAAGTCTCTGCAAGTGGAGCGTCTTCCGATTGCTTATCCTTTTCCCAGCTGCATGCAGATGTGAAAAGTCGCTGCAAAATCTAAAAGTATTGCAAAAATGCGTTTGTGTTGTTACTAGCATACACCAACAATACCGTTATATATCGTTTCCAGCTGCTTTACCGCCCGATTTGTTTGTAACGTCCATCAGCATGTCAGCAGGCTTCCAGATAAGCAGACACACACCCACACACACATAATCGCTTTTGAGCTTTGTTTGCGTGCTTTGCTGTGTGTTGGTATTGGTAGCTTTTGCACTCAATGCACATAACTCAGCAGGTAATCCACAACGTTTTGATAGTGTCAACGATGTGTCAGTCGCGTCATCGTCCCTACTTCCACACACACACACATTGACGTACCACAGCAGCGCATGTTTACATGCACCCATTATGTGACACAACAAATACATTTGCAACATTTTGCTGCACCATTAAATAATGTGTGGCATAAATAGTTTAACGTACAACTAAAAATGCAGCAGTGGTAGTGTGTGCATACTACTTTTGTAGGCAAACAAATTCTATGCCACTGAATGAGAGATATTTCAAAGTAAAACAAGCTGAATGTATGCAAATGTGTGCATTGAATTATCAAAATTTGTACACATTCATTTGATTGGAATTTGTGTGCGTGGAAATTCATATACATACATACATACATAGATTGGAGCAAAAATTACTAAGGCATTAATTCTGGGAAAACGCAAATTAAGTTTCATCATTCGATTCGTTAGATATTAGTATTTTTAATGGTCTAAATTTTCGGGATTTCGGGATCATAATATATCAGTCCCGAAATTTTGGGAAATTAGTGTTTTCATAAAATAATTTTAATAATTTTTTGCGATTTCGGTATCAGTCCCGAAATTAAGGGTTAATAAGCATTTTATTTTATTAAACATTATTTAATTTTTGCGTTTTATCAATGATATTAGATGTTCGACAATAATTTTTGTTTGGATTAAAGACATAATCATTGCTAATTGATTTTATCGATTGAAAAACATTTTTAAAAACATTTTTAACAAACTGAAAACGTACATAATCCTGGTAATCTTGAGGATATCACCTAATAAAAATATTTTTAAATATAAGCTCTATTAATAATATTATAATTAATAATCTTCGATATAATTCGTAAATGTAAACAAATTTTTCAAAATTGAAAATTTTTATGAAACAAAAAGTTTCAATTTAATTTATATTCATTAAATATTTATTTATTTAAAAATTTCCTAATTTTTTAATGATTTAAAAAATAAATTTTGGAAATAAAATTATATTATATTTTTGAAATACAATAAAATAATTACAAATTAAATAAAGTAATAAAAATTTAATTAAATATGAAATTTGGAATTTTTGAGACTTTTTTTTTTGTGATTCCGAAAATTTTCTTTTATTTTATATGAAACTTATTTAAAATATTGAATTAAAATTTTTCGATATATTTTTTTGCAAAAATGATTGAACTTTTTTAATTTTTTTTCAATTTTTATTTCAACTCTATTTCACCAAAAAAAATTTTTTTCAAATAATAAAATAAATATTTTCAAAAACTAATATTATCTATTGTATAATTTAAAACATCTAAAAATTGTGTCGAAACGGAAAATATGTAATTTAATCACCTTTAATCTAAGGAAAGCGCGTCTTTGTTTTTTTCTGATTTAAATTTTTTTTCTTTAAATTTCGAATTTTCAAAATACTCTTAAATTTTGGTTTTGACTTTGATTTAAAATTTTTTAACATAACTTTTTTTTGGCGAGAATGCTGGAAGTCTTTTTTTACCTTTTTTATTTAAATTTTTAAAATATGTTTTTTGAAGCAAAAAAATATAAATTTTCACAAATTTATATATTAATTTTTTGTAGTTACATAAAAATATTAGGAACGAAAAGTATGTATCACCTATAATCTAATGCATTACTTTTTTATTCAAGCGATTATTGGGGTTTTGAGAAACTCATTTTCGACATGGATTTTTTTACTTTAAACAAATAAAAACAAATTAAAATAAAAAAATCAAACAAGAAAAAAAATTGTGTAAGAATATCAGTCCCGAGGGTATCTGTGTACTATGTAGGGTTTGCTTGGTGTGCACTAATTATTTTTATCGGATGTTTGCTGCACATTCGTAAAGAAATTTTTATTATTGTTGCTTTATTGTGGAATTACTCGTATTTAATTTTTCTTTTGCTTTAACTCGAAAATATTGCACAATTTGGCTTCAATAATTTAATAATTATGCAAAATTTATTTCAAGGTCTACGCAAACGTTCATCTATGATATTTCATATGTGTATGTGTCGCATACTTTACCCGAAATAATTTTTTTCATATTCAACACACGCTAAATTTTATACATAAATACACGCACCGCTTACGCACCATGCTTTACTGATTGCTCTAAATTGCCAGTTGCACACATTGATTACTTACATCTCCGCATCCAACCGCAGCCAATGTTTGCCTCTTTTAAATTATTCTGTATCTGCGGAGTTAATTTATTTTGATTGCTTTATCGTGATTGAATTATAATGCGCAAAGTAATAGAATCATATCCTGGCACCTATTGCTAAGGTGTGGAAAAAATTACAATTTATATATGTACATACAAACAACACACATCATCTTAAAATTCATTTTTAACTGTAAATGAAAGAACATCATAAAAATTGCGTGCTAGTTTGGCAAATTTTAAATTAAGCTCTACTTACTTATTAACTTGAAACGATATTTAATAGTCGAATTTACATAATTTCCTATTATTATCTTCCTCTTCTTCTTTTTTTTTGCAGTGTCAACCCTTCCAAGTGAGAATAACAAAAACTAAAAAAGCAAAAACAATGATGTCAAACAAGTTATTCTGTTGGTCCTTGGCTTTTGTCGCCGTTTGCTTGGCGCTATGTCTGTCGACGTCGGAAGCAGCGCCATTCCCCAGGTAGTTGTAGCTTTGTCAAAATTTAAAACACCCACACAGACATATATATAAACACTCGCACTCGAAAAGCTTCAGTTAAAGTTTGTATTATCATAGAGCGTGCTAGCGCAGCAGCGCTTTATTAGAGTAAGACTAACTAAGCTCAGCTGAAATTTTGGCAGAAGTTCGCCCGACAGTTGAAAGAGAGCTGCTCAGGTGTAATTTAAATTAAATACTAATATGCATAATCGAGTTATTAGTGAGGCTGTCAAAGTTTGACGAGCTTAGATTGAGGCCCACAGGGAACTAAATTGGCTGCATATTGTTAATGATAGTAAAAACTTCTTCAACTATCGGGCAGTTGAAATGTTGAATAGCGTTGACGCCTCACCTAACCAGCTTAAATGAGTAAAATGCTTAATTACTTGTGAGATTTTGAGTTCCTAAAAAGGAAACTAAAAGATGGACCACTAAAAGGTAGACCGTGGAGAAATTAAATATTTTTTCAACACCGGCATAGATTTCAAGAATGATCAGTAGGAGCCGCGACCAGGGAAAAATTAAATATTTTTAAATTCCGGCATAGATTTCAATGCTGAAGAAACATGTCCAAATTTTTCCTCTACCTTAAAAAAAAAACACACCCGCGACCTGTAATGTGCGAGATGTATTTTTTCAGAAATCGGTCTCAATAGTTAAGAAACAGTGAAAGAGTCATATCGACTTCGATACCGCCAATTTGTACCCCATTTGATACATTCAAGGCTATCATTGAGATCGGACAAGTCCACAAAATATTTAACAAAAACTTTCAGTCGAACAGCAAACAAATGGATAATACATACAGGTCATTAGAGGTATTCGACCGAGTTTCTACTTCTTGGCCAAAGATAAACCGGCTTCTTACCATTTATGTAGACCCGAATATCGGGGAATCGAATCAGTTTATCTACGTTTTGGGGCGTTACGTGGAAGAAGTATATTTTCAGAAATTGGCTCGAATCGTTAAGACCAAGTTAAGCCAGAAGATTGTTATCAAAACTTTTCAATATACATCTTCGAGGCAACGTGAGCTTTTTAGCTAACGATTGGTTGAAAAAAAGAGTAGAACGTGAAAGCTTCGGAAGCTTTTTTAGTGAAAGTTCTTGTCGAAAGCGCACTTAAATTTGTGTCATTGTGTAGAATTTTTTGAAAGAGTTCAGAATGAAGAGTTAAGTCGCAGCCGAGTATGTAAAGTGTGTGATCACAACTCGAACAAGTTCTACGACTTGCTAAGGTAAAATTTAATATATAGATAACGTCAAAAAGTGACAGACAGTGTTAGTGAGTGGTAGAAGGTGAAAAGTGGCAAGTAGAAAGTTCGGTTTTGGTGAAAGCTCTAGTCGAAAGCACATTAAAAGCTGCAACATGAAACCTTTTGGCAGAGTTTTTGTTCGTTTTCCGACGCCATAACCGCTTGTATTAAGTGCGGTCATTATTTGAAGGCAAATTTCAATATTTTTAATGTATTTATGCTCTTATGCTTTTTATTGAAGTAGTTATTTATTTCAAATTTTCAGAAGAAGCAATAAACAATTTAGACAGCTTTGAAGAAGAAGCTTATGAAAAAGTTAGATTTCTTGACTGATTCAATGTAAATCTTAAACTTAAGCCTTAAACTTTCTTTAAAGTAGAAGCTTTTTGTAATCACTTTTCATATTTATTTTCAATTAACCTATCTTTTTTATGAATTTTCACCAAACCGTTAAATTAAAAACGCATTATGTAGTATATGCCTACCTTATTGTGTATATTGACAAGCCATAAATAAATGTGGGCTTAAGACACTAATAGAAGATTTTCTTATTTTCCAATACACTTAACAACGCAACAAAACGTAAAACGCAATGTAAACATAAATCCTTATGGTGGCACTAAACTACACTAAACACACACGCAAACAAACACAACATGGCAAACACAGTCAAGGCGGCGGCTACTATAACGAGCTGGAGGAGGTGCCCGACGACATATTAATGGAGCTGATGGCACGTTTCGGACAAACTATTATGAGAGCACGCAACGATCTGGAAAAGTGAGTAATAAAAACCCGCAGAAACTTTAAACTTACAATATTTTCAGTATGAAATAAAGGCGTTAGGTGTAGCAGCTTTTAAATGTGCCAGTATATGTGTGGGTTATTGAAATTAGGTAAGCATTAGGGCGGCCTAATTTGCAGACCATAAATATTTGTATGTGAATGCTATTAATTTACTATTGTCACTGTGTAAATATGTCGCCTAAAAGCACTTAATGGGTCCATACATTGTTGGTGTTCGGTTAAAGGCCACAGGCGAAAGGGGACATAACATTTGTGGCTAATTATAAGCTATTTATATAATTGGTGTGATATAGTTACCCAAATTTTAAACGGATATTGTCGAAATTAATTTTGTTAACAATGAAAGCTGAGTACATTGATGGCAGTGTCGACAGGAAGGCAGGGTGTCATTGAGTTGGGTAGACAGTTCATTATTTGGTTATTATATACTCATTTGTTGTGGAAGAAATTTTTTTTATTTTTTTTATACATATTCCATGGTACTTTGATTTTCAATAATGTTGTCATCTTAAATGTAGGCAACATTTTGGTTTGGTGTACAATTATCCAAGTTGCACACCAGATATAGGATTGATAAATTTATTTTACGTATTTAAAAGCTATTGTAGCTTAGTATCGGACTCATTTTGATTATATCCAAGCTCAAACATCTATTCGAAATATATCATGTTAAAGCTATCCACTAGTTTCAGGCGAGCTTTCATATGAAAACGTTTTCATAACCGTTTTGTATCAAATACCCATTCGCTATCTAACCAATTTTAATTTTAGTTGCTAGTGTCATACTAACATTCATAAAATCATGCAAACTTTCATAGTTATACTGACCGGAATAAAGTATAAAAGTGCCAGTAAGATTTTGAGAATCATTTGAAAAATCAAAGAAATTTAAAATTTTATAAATATTATATGTAGTTTGCTTACAAACGCCTGTCTACTTTTCTTTCATTGTAAGCCTAAATGTAGGCAATACTCGATTTTAGCTTACGTTTATCATAGACGCGAACCAGTTATTAGCATTATTTAAGCGATCAAAGAACAAGTGAACTTTGAGCTACCTTTAAGCGACTACTGGAATATAGAAAAAACTTTTGTATACCATATATTCAATCGGTGGTTCGATATTGTGTGAGAGGTGTAAGAATTATTGGCAACAACATTTTGTATTGGGTCTATAAATATATTCATGTTGTATGAAGATTATTGCCAAACATGAGAAGAGCCAATGGAATCTTTGGAAGCCACTCAATCAGCCATTTCAAAACGTTTAAGAGCAGACGGCTACATTCAAAATCAATGAAATCGGGTGCCATATGAATTGTAACAAGAGACCCGAAATGCTGCTTGAACCTTACAAAAATACGTCGTTTTTGCATCATATTTTGACTGGTTAAGAGAAATGGATCCATTATAATAGCCCTGAGATGAACGGCAAAGGCCATGACGCCAGGGTAATGCTCTGTATTTTTGTCGGGATCAGAAGGGCATGTTGCAAAGGCATCATATTGAAGCAAGCGATTACCGAAAATGTCGGCAATTTGCAACTAGACATCAAGCAATAATTTTCCGCGCGGACTCATGTTGCTAGATCGGTTAAAATTTGGGAAACAGTGGCTGGGAAGTTTTATTATGGTCAATGAAAAACGCACTCACCAACATAGAGTACGGTTCATATCAGAAGAGATTATCGAAAATTTACCTGATTTATTCTTCGCCGCCAAGCTGGCGCAGTTCTTTTGGGATGAAATCCACAAATTGTCGAAAAGATGGCAATTTGTTTTATGTAGCTTCAGACGGGCAATACTTTGCACATTTGTACATTTTAATTAAAAAATATTGAAATTTTGAAAAAAAAACGTACGAATACAGTTATAGACCCAATACACAGCTTAGTAAAGGACTCAAGGGAAGGTATAGCAAAGATCAACCACCGAATGTACAAATGGTTTTTGATACAATGGAGTTTAATTAGTACACTTTAGATATACATTGGGGTCTTACCATAACCTACCTTAAACACACCGTAAATTAGAGAAAAAGAGTAGGAGAGTATTTGGTGGTATGACTAAGATTGAAGTAGTTTTAGATTTTGATCAAAACATATTATATATTAATGCTATTACGAACATTAAACAACAAAAATATATTTTCTCCGAATTCTCTTTATAAAATGCCGTCATTTTCTCTATTTACATTCCACAGCTCTAAACGCACTGTGGACTTCGGTTTGGCGCGCGGCTATTCGGGCACACAAGAGGCGAAACATCGCATGGGCTTGGCTGCTGCCAACTTCCCCGGCGGCCCAGGCAGGAGGCGACGATCGGAAACCGAAGTCTAAAGTGTCACAAAACGCCCAAGCAGCAGGCAAGCAAGCGTGCGAATGAATATGAAAACTTCCTGATTTGAAAATTTCTGAATTTATGCCGGATTTATTAGAGAACTCTATAAGAATTTGTTGATTATTAAATACATACATACAACATATATACATACAAACATACAAATAAATAAACAAACAACAGCGGGCTAAAGCGCTTGTTGCATCCTAAAGTATAAAGTGACTATTTTTCATTAGCTTAAATATATATATGTATTTAGTACAAAACAAAACAACAAAACAAACGTATTTATTTACAATCTACACGCACTGTAACCATATATACACACGTATTTATATTTATGAATGAAAAAATCATGTGAAAAGTATTTAGCTTCAATTTATTGTATTTATTATAAATAAATAAATATCAAATAAAGTAAATTCATTGAAAATATGCGTGTTGAACACAAAAGTTATGTTTGCAAAAACAATAACAACATACATATGTATATTCTCAAAAAAAAAAAATATATATGAAAAAACTGTTGCTCCAAAAGTCTTAAAATTCCGAAATTAAAGTGAAACGAAACGATCGATGTTGGCATTTTCTCTAGCTTATAAGAAGTCTGCACAAAAAATGCTAAAAATGCATAAAAAATATTATAGCAAAGTTTAAGTACAGTAGACGAAAACACTTGTAAAATAAAAACAAATTATGAAGTATTTAATGAGAATTATTTGAACAAAAATCTTTTAGTAGGTATGTAGGTTAAGCAGACATACAAAAACAACAACAGCACAACACGGCTTAAAACAACACGAACAACAGCAGTCAAAGCCACCGAAGCCACCAACAAATGCCACAAACGAAAAATTTCACACACACACACATTAAGGCCCCCGAGAGAACGTGAAAATTTTTGAAAATTTCCAACATTATATTAACTGTATTATAACACAAAAACTACTAGCGTGCACACTTAAATACTTCAAATGAAACGAAATATATATATAAATGTATATGTACTTACTTACTTGTATAATGTAAAGAGTGACGAAATACATACATACATACGATGTGAAACAGTTATGAGCAAAATAAAAAAAATTAAATGAAAATAAATTGTACTGAGTAAAAACAATAAATAAAGCGTATTTCGAATTGTAATAGACCAGCGAAGTTAATTTTTGAAAGCAAAAAAACTTTTAGTAAGTTGAAACACATTGGTAAAGTAATATCAAATAAACAAAAAAAAAAACAAATGTTAACTTCGGTTGCACCGGAGCTAGAATATACTTTACAAATAATGAAGTTTCTATACAAGAACTTGATTTTGATTGTTCAATATGTTTGGCAGCTATACGAGTATGCTATAGTGATCTGATCCAGAAAATTTCTTCAGATATTGGACAACGTTGCCTTAGACAATGAGCCATGCCAATTTTCGTGAAACAGTCTTATCAAAGCACAAAAAAAAATTCCAAATTTCAGGCCGATAACTCAAAATTTGTGGGACTAGTTCGCGTATATACAGACAGATGGACTTGGCTAAATCAACTCGGTTCGTCACGCTAATTATTTGTACATGGTAAATACTTTATTGGGTCTCTGACCTTTTTTTTTCTTTTTGGATGTTACAAATTATCCCGTGAGGCTATAATAATTTACGAAAGATCCTATTTTCTGATAGTGACATTACTATGGCAAGGTTTTTCAAAAAATTCCAAAACAGACCCCACTCAACGATTCCTTTCATTTTAATACTCTCGCAGCTTGTTGCTACAGAGTATAATAGTTTTGTATAACTAAGCTCCACAAAAAGACACAAGACTGTTATTTGTTATACAGGATCACATTAGAGAGGAGCATCTGCAGTTAATAGTTTTTTTTGAAGTGGGCGTGGTACCGCCCTCTAATAGGTTTAATATGCATATCTCCTAAACCGCTAATGCTATAATAACAAAATTCACTGGAAGCAAATGTTTTGACGGTGTGAAAATGGGTGAAATCGGGTGACAAGACCGCCCACTCCCCATATAACGGTACTGTTAAAACTATTAAAAGCGCGATAAATCACTTTCTTCCACTTCTGATTCTATCACTTTCCACTAAGTAAATCAAGCAACAATGATTGCATCGGAGTAATAATTTGCGTGAATAATGCGTTTAAAGTTCTGTTAAAACTGTTCAAGCCCCAAGGTATTGAATATGTGTACACCAGTGCCTGTAGTTGACTTTTTACTGAAAATATCGGTCAATGTGAAATTTATATAATAAAATAAATAAATGAAACTCTCGATAATAGTATGTTTTTGTGTCAAAAGTGGGTTGAATCGGATCAGTACTTCCTATAGCCCTCATATACATAATATAAAGATTTTTGAACTCCCGGGAGGCTTTATACCACATACCTATATGGGCCAATATGTGAGATATCTCAATGAAAATGGGAGAGCGTGTTTGATATAGCGTGTATATATATGCCCACATCTCTGCTCATGTCATATAGGTACTAATTACGCATACTGTTCCTCTAACATATGTCTGCATAAAAAGTTTCAAAACTATGTATTTGTGTAGCTGATTCTGCTCTGCTCCTTGCAAAAGTCTCATGCGTGCTGCCCATCTCTCTGTCTCTCTCTCTACCGCCTATTATATTGTTCTCTTGGTAGCCAAGTGATTATGCATTAATTTTAATGTTAATTACTGTCGAAATTCGATGTATATGCATAAATATATAGCGTTAAATAAATAGCTGTATAATAGACAGATTGTCACCTAAACAACCACAAATACATACATACACACGTGCATTGAAGACAAACAAAACTCTTGTTAGATGTCATCTGCCACAAAATTGGAACTCAAGAAAGTCATAGAAGTCACAAGGAAGTGTCTGGTGAGTAGTTGAAAGCAAGTGTTGCAATCAAAGATTGCTTGAACAACTGTTATATGCATAACTACAACCACATCCACACACACAAACAAATCATATGAAATATGTGAGTTTGCTTCTACTTGTAGTTTAAATCAATATTAAATATTCACGATGATTTTCTTAAAGAATTTTATATACATACCCATACATACATGTGTACCTTGAGACCACTATTGTATTACAAAATCTCACGCCATAAATGTCTACAAAATTAACAAAGCCTACAAAACTAACAGTTTCAACTGCATAGTACTTCTTGAATGTGCTGTTGGAGAATTGAAAATAATTTAAAAATATGAGGTAAAGACAACTGAATGAGATTTTCACGTAATTTTTTTGAAAATAAGCGTAAGTGTAATTTTGCCAAAGCTATCGGCCATTTGTTGTGTGAAAAAAACAAGGAAAGATAAAATCTTAAAAAAAGTTTAAAGTTGAAAGATAAATATATGGCAACACTTAAATATTATGTTTAATATCAAAAGGTCCAACTCTTCAAAATATATTTAATATTAAAAGTACCCCTAAAATATCTTCAATTTAATCAATCTTCAACGTGATAAAATGATTCCTAAGATCTGAGTTTAATAAGTTACAGATATATAGCAACCCATATATCCATGCATATATATTTTTTGTAATTGCTGCAAAGAATTTAACAAAAAACTTAAATTTATATACATACATAACTATACAATAATTATTATGCATTATTTTTAACTGAATAGAGATGGCAACCTCAAAAAAAATTGCACTGGAGAAATAAAATCTCTTGTTTCCTACTCAAACTCTTAGGCCAAGAAAAATTTAAACTAAAACAAAATTTTCAGTGTTCGGCAGCCCTATTAACAATATAAAAGCTGCAAAATGTTATTTTAATCCTCCACCTCTGAAAATATTTAAGTAAAAGGAAATGTTTATTTCACCTTTTTGGGAAAACATATTTTTAAAATATTAAAAAAATGCGTTTCAAAAAAGATGAGAAAAACATTTATGTATATATTTTAGTGGTGCATTTTTCCAATCCCAATGTTAAGGCTTTCAGGCATCACTGCTATTATGAATGATTTTTGTTAACAATTCAAACGAAAAATAGAGTGGTCAATAATAACCAAAAATAAACTTAATAATTGATATACGATTTTTGGACAATTTTTTTTATTAAATATTTTGATTACGTGGCAACTCTACGTTAAAACTTAGCTGCTTATCAAAATATTTATGGAACAGCTTTGATCAATTTGTTATATCCCTTGAAATAAATCAAAATTAAGTGGCAACCCTAATATAAATATTAGCTTTTTATGGTTAAAACACAAAAGTAAAAATATTATCCTATCAATTTATATAAAATATTGCGTTATATTTAATTAGCTTCTTTTGAGATGTTATATAATAACTTTGCATAGGTGGCACTCTTGGTACGTGTAAAATGTGCACACATTCAAATATTTTTGGAAAATCTTGATACATCAGGTTTATCCAAAATTTTTCCAATATTTTCTATATAGAATATTTTTTCGTATTTCAGTAATTATCTAATTCATTTAATAAATTAATGACCCATATCTGCCGCTCCTTCAATCTCTCTTTCTCTCTCATTATTCAACCATTTTTTTGGTCTACCGATCTTTTTTGCTATCATATTCCTTAGACCAATTCACATTTAGCTCTCAAATCAAAAAATTTTATAATTAAGTGTATATGACAACCCTAGTCCGAATCATGATATAAAAAAAAAAATTAAATATTTGGCAAATAAAGAATTTAAATAAGCATTGAATAGAGTACAAGTAAATTCTTAAAATAGCCAAATGTATTGATTCAAGATGCGAGAAAACATTATGTATGTCTATGATATAATATATAAAAACAAATGGCAACTCTAGAAAAAATTGACAAAAACTATATAATATAATTACCGTAATAAAGAATAAAAAAGATTCAAAGAATTCACAGGTTATTCGAACTCTATTTATTCCGACTTTTTTTTTAAAGTTAGTAATATGTTATGATGTAACTCAGAAGACTTTCGAGTGGTAAGATCGCAGAATCCACACATTTTCTACAAAGAATACTGATTTATCATCGTTATAAATTATTGTATTTAGCTTCATCGAAGGATTTAACCTCCAGACAGAAAGCGCTACATTGAACTTTATGAAACATGAATATCCTTATTAGATACTTGAATACACGCTGCTGAAAGAAATTCTACAATAGTTTATGTAAGATTGTAATCTCGGCGGTATAGGTGAAATTTTTTCATTATTTAATTTAAACGTAATGTTGCTTTATCAATAAATAATCGAAATATAAACTAATGGGCTAAAAATTTAATTTTTCTCAAAAACAAATGACAGAGGTAGGTATTTAAGCATTATGGAAATTCAGAATATCTTACTACTCTCTGCATACCACCAGCAAAACTTGAGTTTTATTAGCGGTCTTATATAAATATTAGTTTTGCTTTGACAAAACAAAATTCAACTCGTGACCCAATTTTCATTACCAAAATATAATATTTCGCGCTGTCACTTAAACTAAATTATATATCCAATATATAATATTTGTCGGCGCTGGCTGCCCACAGGTGTCTGCATTTAAGGCTTTATTGGCATTTTGTTGTTTGGTCTGCCGCAATTAATTAGCGAAATTAATTGAACATCTTTATCCTTTTAACATTAACACAGATTGCCAAATACAAGCTAATGCAAACAAATTATTGCACCTTCGCGCAGGTGAATATTTATTTGTGGATATAAATGTATGTATGTTTCAATATACACTTTAGGGGAAAGTGGATAATACTAGAAACGACCTTTAGTTGCTGTTGAATATTGCTACCAATGGAAGACTAGTTGGGAACTATTTGCTTGAAAACTGAGTCTAAATTAATTTGTTTAAGGGAAAATATTTACTATATTCATAAAACTAGCAACTGCAATTTATAAGGTGTCAGTTAAACTGGACATAACGTGCTCATTGTGACGGACCTTTTTGTTGAGTGGTCACTACTAAATCCATCTATTAGTAGCTAAAGAACTCACTAACGATGTCTTATTTGTTATCAGGATATGCCTGTGAAAATAGAGGTTGGTTGAAAAGTTTCTGCGCTCGAAATGAAAAGATACTGTTTTTGGTGCGAAATATATTTTTTTATTCAATATAA